CCCCCCCCCACTACAGGAGGGGGCAGAGAATAGACCAGTCACCCTGCACAAGGAGAGAGAGCAGCAGTAAGCAGTCTTTATTACAGGAGGGGGCGGAGACCAGACCAGTCACCCTGCACAAGGAGAGAGAACAGCAGTGACCGGTCTTTATTATTAGGTTCTTTTTATGCTGGATTACTGTAGGGATCTCAAAGAAATTCACTGATTTAATAAATGTTTTGCCCTCTACATGGGTGCAGATGAGCATAAGAATTTCCTATGCTCCTCAGCACCATCATGAGGTGCTTTTGCTGAGCAAATGGCATCCCCCCAGCTTTATGCTGGATGGATGATGTTCACACAGCACTGGTGCCCCTAGATGGCGCTGAGGAGCATAAGAAAATTGCTATGCTCCTCAGTGCCATCTAATGCCCTACGATTCAAGTACCAATAGACATGCACCATGTATATTTTATTATTTGTTTAGTTCACCTTTTTAATATCAAGTACCCAGACACCTGTGTGCGGTATTGATGTATAGCGGTTCTGATCTTTTTGGACTTGCATAGAGCTAGAGTGTGGTCACACAGTTCTGCCATTCCCTCTTTAATCTGTTGTATTTCTCCCAATAAAGCAACTGAGGCCTCCAGCGCAGACCAGACTGGGGACACCACCGCAGAGAAGAAAGGAGAAACAACCGAGCAACAAGGCCAGGAAAAGAGTCAGAAGAAGCAAAGCCCAAGCGGGCCTATAAAGAAGCCGACTCAGAACAACCCCGCTAAGAAGCAGAACCAGAAAAGTCCCGCAAAGAAGCCGAGTCCGAACTCGCCATCAAAGAAGAAGAGCCAACAGAACCCCGCTAAGAAGCAGAACCAGAAGGGCTTTAATAAGAAGCAGGCCCAGAAGATGAAACTCAAACAAAAGTTTCTGGCAAAGAAGAAAAGGAAGAGTAAATAGTATTACATTGTTCCGCTTCTAGACCTTGCTGCGGCCTCCTCCACCTCCCGTTCATCCTCAAGACTCTGAAACTCTGTGTGTGCAATGGCCTGGGAAGTACTGAGCTCACCCCGCAGGAGATGGCAATACCCAGACAACGTCTCCGTCTATAGGGAGATATTCTCCGTGCTGAACATGGACTCTGGTGGAGGGCCAGACGTGAAGCAGACCTGTCCGCTGAGGGTGTACAGTACTCCAAGTGTGCTCGGGCCTTCCCCCTGGGGAGGGTGCAATGTTCAGTTCCTGCTCTGAGGTTCATTTGTGACACTGTTGATGTTTTATTATAAATTGGATACAAAAATATCAATTGCATTTGTCTGTCATTCTGAATATGTAGAGTTTGTGGCACCAAGGGGTCATTGAAGAGCACAGGGCCCCTCACGTTGCAGGACCCGTCACCTATGGGGGTGCACACTGATTCCAGGTACATAGAGCTGAGACAAATGAACGCAGCTCTCTGTTCACTGAGGTTAATGTTCCCAGCTCAGGCCGGTAGAGGAAGAAGCAGCAAAAGGAGCCAGACAGTTGTACAGTGCTAAGAACATGCCGATAGAGGGGGGAGAGCAGAGTGACAAAGGATTGAGCTTGTTGGTATGTTACTTTTCATATCACTGTCCAATCACAGGCTGGGAGGAGGGACAAGACCTGTGAGGGCTACTGAACTGCTGCATAGTAAAATTAGGGCTCATGTCCTGTCAGGTCTGTGCTGTGTGGCAGAGCGTTGTAAATCGCAGGACTGAATGGGCAGATATCTGGGTATTTAGCTGTTTGTCTGGAGTTCAGTTTTAAGTAGAAGGGCTTTGTTCCTCCCTCTGCCGAGTAAGTAAAGGCATCTTGCTGTCCTGGAAGATGAGTGCGGAAAATTCCCAGTTAGTCTCGCGGGTAAGAGTCGTCCAAAACAGTTTTACTAAGTCTACTTTCTACCTCACTGCACTGGTGGAGATTTTTTTTATTTTTTTTTTACTGTTCTGTTTCCTGAGGGAGGAAACAATCATCTCTCAGGTTGCTGTCCTGGAAGATTCCTAGAAATACCCCTATTGGTAAGACTATTTGGGAATTTGCCACTTATCATCCAGGTATAACACATTTTTAACTGTATATTTAGCAGATTAAAAAGAACCAAATCGGAGATGTTCATTGTTTGGGGTTTACATACATTTTAATTGGTTATTTTCGATTGGTTCCTCGCATTGTCACACCAGGCCCCCCGTCCTAGAGATTCACTTCTAACGTGACTCATGTAGCTACTGTTGTCCCCATCAATCATATTTGACTCCCAAATCCAGGGATCGCCTGCACTGTCTAGGAGCTGCCTTTAGTGGTGAGCAAGATCCTATCTCCCTGGTCTCTGTCCCTAACCCAGACTGGCTGCTCCTGATGCTGGAACACCCATGGCGGCCTTCTTGCTGCCTCTTGCATGGTAAAACCCAAATATAACGCGTCACAAATGTCTCACTGCCATCGATCAGACTGAAACCTAAATATGATTGGTGTGGAGGGAAGCCAAAAGAATTGCGCACAACACAAAGATTAACCATGAAGATGTGCAAAATATCAGACTAATATCACTCTCAGAACTTTCGGGTGCTCAATATAACGTCCCTCTACACTAAACGACGTAGCTTAGGATAGCGTGGTGTGAAGAATAACTTTCTTTTGAGTTCTGATGCAAGCAACTTCTGAGACACAACCTATGCCTTCACCTTCCTTGTGAGCCTGGGCTTTGGTCGCCTGCTTGTGCTGGTGAGTGGGTGACCCATAGCTGCTACAAGAGCGTCTGCTGGCTTTTCATGTGCTAATTCCGGGGCCTCCTGGAGCAATCTGCTGCATTTGAAGTCTCCATGTCCATATTACCGTTTTATACAGTGACCTATGTATGTCCGTCCTCACGTCTGCCAACATTCAAGCAGCTGTCTCTATTCATAAGTCATTCTTTTGTGTATGGACAGCTGGACGGGAGACCCATGAAATTGGAGAGCGAGGAGCGTATAGAATGTGCTCAGCCTGAGAACAGAAGCCTGACCCCTGCCAGCATGTTATCTGTGTGGAAGCAGTTGTCTCTCATCTGAGGTCTGACATGCCCCATGCTAAGTCAGACCTATAACTGCAATCGGCAGCTTAACTGACTGCAGAGCTATAGGTCTGAGTCATCAGCTGGCATATTGGACCTCTGCAGGGATGGCAATGGTTCCAAGTGGCAGGGTTCTTCACTGCAGCATGCTTAGAGGGGACAGGTATTTCTACTCAGGCTGTGGCCCAAAAAAGCTGGCATCCAACTGTTGTGGCCCAAATAAGCTGGCATCCAACTGTTGTGGCCCAAATAAGCTGGCATCCAACTGTTGTGGCCCAAATAAGCTGGCATCCAACTGTTGTGGCCCAAATAAGCTGGCATCCAACTGTTGTGGCCCAAATAAGCTGGCATCCAACTGTTGTGGCCCAAATAAGCTGGCATCCAACTGTTGTGGCCCAAATAAGCTGGCATCCAACTGTTGTGGCCCAAATAAGCTGGCATCCAACTGTTGTGGCCCAAATAAGCTGGCATCCAACTGTTGTGGCCCAAACAAAAGCTGGCATCCAACTGTTGTGGCCAAATAAGCTGGCATCCAATTTCTGCATCTACGGGCAGGATGCTCTGATTCTCTCATGGTACCGTTCACATATAAGGGCCTATTTAAATGACTATAGCGTTGTGCTAAACAATTGGGATCCGTGCATTTATCGCACACCCCATGGTCCTGGACACTAACCCTAAGGGTGTGCAGTGCTGCATTGACACTGAATCTCAATAGTACCCCAACGCACCTATTCTGGCAATAGTGTGTTGCAGTAACAGGATAGCACAACAATGTGATCTATGTTGCCGCATAGTGAAAACAAGTATTGCATGCACTACTTTTTTTTCTTTCACTGCACAGCAACTGTGCAATGCACGCCTGCCGGGAGGCGTTGGGTTGCCATTGAGAATTATTGGCAAGCAGTGGTGCAATAGCGGGCGCTAAATGCATGGTTCCTGCGTGTTTACTGCGGCACTATTGTGTGAATGGGCCTTAAATGTGCCCAGCTGGCCACCATATGATGTCTGTAAGTACTGTATGCTACAATGGGAGAAGTACGGGCCTGCCGTTGCATGCCCAGCGTTCTATTGAATCAGCCAACCAGTCCTAATGTTCTGTGTATGTGCCCATCATCCATCAGTTCTGGTCAAAGACTGACTTATAAATGAGCTGAGTGTTCTGTAGATATCTATAAGGTGGTAAATGACTGATTTGCCACCTTTTCGCCGGTCTCTTGCTGTGGGAAAGCACACTCGCCTGAGCTTTTGACAAACTGAGCTACAGCTGCTGACGTCTGCCATCCACCCTGACCATTCTTAAAAAGAAGCTCTTGCTGTAACATTCGCCGAATTTATAATACAGCCAGAGTTACATTCGCCGTCAAGTTCGCTATCCTTAAAAGGAAAATCAATGATCTCATTAACAAGTCCCAAAGGAGACCCGCGGCGCTCGATTGCTTTAGCCCACAATTGCCAATCAATCAATCGCTGTGCTGCAGATTCCCATGCAGCTGCTCAGAATCCTCATTTTCAGCCAGATTGGTCTTCTGTAGATGACACTTGAAGTTTGTGTGAATATGACGGGGGGAGGGGG